AAAAAAAAAAAAAAAAAGACTAAAAGAAAATTACAGCATGTACAAGGAAACAGAAAACAGATTTTGAAAATGTCTGTCATCAGAAAATAGAATATAAAATATTTAATATATATAAGGAAGTTAGAGGAAGCAGCAAGGAAAAGTACATAATAAGTGATATTTTTAAAATGAACAGATCTGAAAAAGAATCACCCTGAACTTCTAGAAATGAAAGATAGAGTCACTGAAATTTAAAACTCAATGGATAGATTTGGCATCAGGTTAAGTGAATAAAGAATTGGTGAGCTGACAAATAGATCTGAACAGATGATCTAGAATGAATGCAGTACACACAGAAATAGAAAGTAAGAAAAATGGGGTTAGCTGTGTGGAAACTGGGCGTGACTGCCTAATCACACTTATGGAAACAGAGAATAGGGCAAATGGGGGAAAGAAAACATTTAAAAGAAGAAAGACTAAGAATGTTCCAGAATTGATTTTTTAAAACCTCACATATCCTAAACAAAACCAAAGGAAACCACATGTAAACACCTCATACTGAAACTGCAGAAAACCAAAGAAAAAGACATTTAAAACAATCAAAAAGAATTCCTCTGAAAAAGTAACTGAAATTAGACTTCCCAACAGCAACAGTGAAAGCTAGAAGACCTAGGAATAATATTTTCAAGGAAAAGAAAGAAAATAACTCTTAACCTAGAATTTGCGGTAAGCCTGATATATATGTAGAAGAATTGCCTTTTAAGAATGAGAATAAAGATAATCTCAGACAATAGAATGAAGAATTTACTACCAGCAGATCCCTGCAAGAAATACAGCAGGCTCTGCGGAGTGTCCCTATACCATGAATTCGCTGTGTCAGTATAATGTGGAGTTTGTATTTTTGTGCATAATTTTTCCTGGCATATTACTACTTTGTATCATTAAGCAATAGCAAGTGAAGGTGAAGTAGATTGAACCACTCTCCCCCTAAAAGGTCACGTGTATCCTTTCTTTTTCTTTTTATCTTTTTTTGAGACAGAGTCTCAAGCTGTCACCCTGGGTAGAGTGCTGTAACATCACAGCTCACAGCAACCTCAAATTCCTGGGCTTAAGCGATTCTCTTGTCTCAGCCTCCTAAGTGGCTGGGACTACAGGCGCCCAGCACAACACCTGGCTATTCTTTGGTTGTAGTTGTCAGTGTTGGTTGGGGGCTGGGCTGGATTCGAACCTGCCCTCTCCAGTGTATGTGGCTGGCGCCCTAGCCGCTTGAGCTACAGGCGCTGAGCCAGGTGTATGCTTTCTTACAATTGAAGATGAAGCCTTCCTCACAGGGATCATTGAAAAGCTGACATCCGGTGAAAGTGCCCCCTTTTCATGCCTTACTAGCTGGTTTGGGGCGTTAAGGACTCTTAAATGTTCCACGACCTTAACCAAGTGTATGGAGCAGCTGAGAGTATAGATTAAGAAGCTGCCAACGCTTTGCCATTAGTTTAAAACTTTTTTTTTATTGATGGAGAGGGCTACAATATGAAACAAATTTTTGTAGAATTGCGCTGTATTTAAAGCATATGCCCTTAAGACTCTACATCTTGAAGTACGAAATGTGGTTTCGGGTTTAAGTCTGTAAAGGACCCACCACCTGTATGGGATACAAATGCCAGTGGAGAGTTAACTGTGCCAGTATTTTTATTAGGATTGCTTTCTTAGTGCTGTGGTCACAAGTTTGAATTTTGAGTGGTCTGCCCCAACTCTACTTTTTTTAATGAGGCTTTCTATTTTTAGTGTACAACTTTGGAGAACACAAGTTTTCAACCAGGGGGACACATTTCATATTTTAATAGAAATGCTTCTACTCAAAGAAATACTTGAGGCAGTAGTTGTCCCAGACAGTAAGTTTGAGATGACATAACGAATGATGATCAAAAAAAGAGAGAGGTTTATGGGTAATTCCAAATAAACTTTGACTATAAAAAGGAAACAATAATGTTTAATTTAAGGCAGAACTGAAATACCGGAATGTGATTGAAGTGCTCTCATGTTCCTATGAGGAAGGTAAAAACAGAAATGGTTTCTCTTTATAAAATTAAATCCTGATGTTTTTGTGGTAAAATCATAAAGAAAAATAAAGGAATGGTAAAAAATTCAATATAATGGTTCCTTCTGGCAGCATGAAGGGAGGTGGGGGGATGGATTGGGGAGGGAGAGATAGGCAGATGTGGAAGTACTGGCAATAATCTGTTTTTTGAGATGGTTGGTAATTACACAGTTCATATTATTGGTGTGCTTTGCAAATTAAACATGGTTATAAATATTTGAATATGCATTCAGTATTTGTTTTAAAAAGTTATTTTAGATTATGGCAAAACCTGCATGTGATAACTTATTGATAGTAACTAGTTTTCCTGGTTCGTTTCAGTTACCATCCTCGTTCTTCTGTGGGCTGTAGTTTGGTCAATTACTGGCAGCGAATGTCTTCCTGGGGGAAACCTATTTGGAATCATAATCCTTTTCTATTGTGCCATCATTGGAGGTAAACTTTTGGGGCTTATCCAGTTACCCACATTGCCCCCACTGCCTCCCCTTCTCGGTAAGTGCTCACCACTTCATGTTTTCTTCAGAGTAAGTCATATTTTTAAGATAGTAGTTTGGAAATCTTTGGGAAATAAAGGCAAAAATGTTTCTCTATTTGCAGTGCTAGAGCCAAAAGATGATTGTTAAATTTTGAGTTTTGCAAGCCAGTTGTTAAACATGGCAGTTATAAAAAGTAAATGATATAAATTTACAATTAAATAGCTTACATGAAAAACAAGTAATTAATACCCCAAACTGATTCCTTTCTAGTTATTTGTTTACATGTCACCTTATCTATGCTTTTGAGATTATGTAAATCCTATGTTAACCACTGCCCTCTCTTCCCAGTTCCATATACAGTAACATCTCATTGGCAGCTTAAAATCAACCATGGCGGAAGAATCTATAACAAAAAAAATCATCACATGCCACAAATCAGGGCTTGTTGTATTGTAAGTTGCTCTCATCAGTGACAAAGAGTGAGGTTCTGACATACATTTTTATTGTTTCAATTTCCTCTTACTCATTAATATAAGCAAAGATACCAGCAAACTTTCATGGTGACACTACACTCTCATTGATGGGAGTGACTTTTCTGCTAACTCAGACAGTAGTCAGCCACTTATTTGTAGTCTGATTTTGTCAAATTTTTGGTAGAGCTGCAACCATAATTGGTTATGGACACAGAAGTTTGGCAAACAAGCAGTGAAAGCGCTCTGTGAGAATCAATTAACTAAGTAGATTTTC